GTATACATGTCATGCAACACTACACACAGAATGTCATGCAACACTACACACAGAATGTCATGCAACACTACACACAGAATGTCATGCAACACTACACATAGAATGTCATGCAACACCACACATAGAATGTCATGCAACACTACACATAGAATGTCATGCAACACCACACATAGAATTTGCTAGAATGTGTTGAAATGTCTTCATTTTGGCACAAGGTACCCTATGTGTTTAGATGCCATGAGGCATGGAGCAGTTAGGAAGGAAAGTCTGAACCCAGTCTTTAATTTGAAAAGCAACATTCCTGCCTTGCCCTTGATTCATATATTCTTCAGAGAGGTCTCTTACCCTGGTCAAACATACAAACAACCCCAGAGTCTTCAGAATGGCTGCAATCATGAGTTTGCCATCCTGCACTGAGGCAATCCGCAATGTTGGTATCTGTGTCCGTACACTGTACTTCATCCAGGACGATTGGACCCTCGCCTTTGAGGAAAGAAACAGGAAAGATTAGTTGAAACTTCATCAGCCTGGGTAGTGTGGGTGGGAGGGGGCTGATTTTGACTCGAACCTTCTCAGAGATTAGTTATCCCTTCCGCCGTCTGTGTTCAAAAAAGGAAGTTTGCTGAAACATTCAAAATCTTCCCTTTGCAGTGAAGCAACAGTGCATTCCTTTTAATACTTAATCTGAAGTACCAACCTGATGACGTAACTAAGGCAATACTTCTGGGTGGGGAGCTCCTGTGAGTGCACACAATTTCTGAAGGGGAGCACCCAAAGCTGATGAACCACAGCTTGTACTGTACATGTACATGGCTATTTCTAGCCATGGGGCACCTGAGGGACACCCGTGGGCATGGAACTCTTTTGGAAGGGCATCCCCCTTACACCACTGCAGCAAGCTATGCATTCCTTCATCCTCGAAAAACATTCTAGCAGATTTTGAAGGATCTGGGAAGAGGTTTATACTCAAGTTGGATACCTTGCCCAAATTCGGCCCCAGTTGATGCTCGAACAGCCCCAGTGAAGCCAAGTTGTTTGCAAACCACATTGGCATCTTCAATGTCCCAATTGTCGTCACAGATGGTCCCCCAAGTATTGTTGTAGTTCACCTCCACGCGTCCGACGTTGGGTCCAGGACCGACCAGTCGAACATTGCTGACCCCTCCTTGTTCCCCTATTTTCATCATGGGTGAAAGGAAACATTAGCAACAGATTGAAATTACGCAAGTGGATCCTTAAAATTTGCTAACAAGGATGGAAAAACTGTTTGTTCTACGAGTGATGGTATCACTGGTATCAAGTCTTGGCATCAGCACAGCGATGGAATCGCATATCAGCAAAAGATGGCAGCCACTCACTATGGGATGGAGATCTCTTTTGTTAGTTGGAGGAGTTTTTAAACGTAAAGAATTGCAAGCATGACTCTCATTTCAAAAATGACAGTCGCCAACTAAACGCATCATAAGACAAATTCAAATGTCAAACAATTCATTTGTCCTGACATTGCTCAGGGCAAATGGCGAGGTATGTTGCCGGGAGTGATGTGTGATTTGGCATCAGGCAAAGTGGATTAACCCAAGCCACTCAAAAATGGTGCCACAATGGTGAAAAATCTGTCTGGCAAACATATTGAACAGTAGGACCAAAATATAGTCCAACCTTTCCAATGCCTCGCAGGAAAGGCCCTGTCCCTTCACTAAACATCCCTTTAATACAAGTTTTAAATAAAAACATTGCAATTGCACCATGTTAATCCATCTGCAGGTACCATTTTTGAACAGTTGCTGGGAGGTTTCAATTCAACAATTACGATGAGTTTACGATGTGGCAATATCAACTGTTGGTTTGAATAATGGATTAATTTCTTTAATTTAATTACAACAGGAGTATGCATGTCTTGCGTACAGAGCTCTGGAAGGATCCAAAAGCATAGTAAATTTAGAGCAGCTCATCTGCACATAACGGTATGCTTTTCTGTTCTACTTTAGAGTATTGTCAAGATTGTCACCTAACAGTAGAATGCACAATGAACTTTAGGCTACTAGTATGTCCAAAATCCTTTCAAGAAAGACAAGGTACCCAGAAACATGCCCTTGGAAGTCATTTCCAAGGAAATGAACACAATTTGGTAAATATCTAGTGCAATTGTTTGTTGCTAGATCAACTTTGGGTCTTTGTATGACTTTTAAGATCACACAGAGAATATAACACTCAGTTGAATGACAAATACTGTTTGCCTTGTATATTTAGTCCTGGTACTAACGACATTGTTAAGTTTCATGCGTGATGTCTCTAGTCATTTTCTGTTTCGTTTAGGCCAGTTAGAGATGGTACAGCATTATATAACCAGGGCTGAATTCTAAGGCTGGTCTAAGGTGTGATCGATAGGACATATTCTAACAGTTATCTTGTATAAGTCGGCAATATGATTTATTTTAAACTTTGATTGGATAAGAGTACACTCAGCACGATGGCATTTGACTGATCGTTTTTATACATGAAGTCTCACCTTTTGGCTCAAGGCTATGGTAATTAATCCCCAATGCTTTCCTCTTTGTTCTAGTTAATTCACTTATTCAGTCATGTGAGATGTATATCTAAGGAATGATGGTTCTTTGGCCATCTCTCATTTAACAGAGATACACCTGAATGTAAGTGATCTAGTTTGAAATATAAATTGTTTTCTTTAATTTCTTTCTCAGTTTTCACACTGATTTGGGGTTTTTACAATTGAAATAAATGCTCAAAATATCACTCACAATCTTGCACCCGTTTCTTTATCGACCAAACCCCTTTTATCTGCTTCAGAGCACTGAAGCCCTTACAACTGTGCCAACGTTTACATGTACATGTGAAAAAAAACAAAAATGGAGTAGCAAGCAGCTTAACACATGTACAGCTAGGATTAAAACGTTCACTGCCACTCACCAGTACAAATCACTCCTGCATCTTCGGCATGACTGCAGTCTTCTACTCTCCAGTCGTTGCTTGGGCACTCCTCCAGTCTGGACTCTTCCCCTCCACAGGCCACTTCGTCCAGCAGGGTCTGTCCAGTGCCTTCCCCAAACCCAGCATTGGTCACAGCCTCCGTAGCACCCTGGAACCCCAGCTGCCTGCAGACGACTTCTGCATCTGTCATATCCCATCTGTCGTCACAGACGGTGCCCCATTCGCCTTGGTAGTAGACCTCCACACGTCCTTCGTTGTTGTTCTCGCTGCCTACCAGGCGAATTGTTGTTGTGGGCTCTACAGAAAAGAAGAAAAACAATGAACATTTACCCCAGCGAATAAAGTTGTTTTTTAAGTGTTGAATTTTTAATAACCCCTAAAACCTTACAAAACCTTATTCGTTCAAAAAGGAAGGAGAAATGTCCAAAAATACTGCATTAAACTCAGAACGTTACAAATTCCATCCATGCAGAATTTCTGCTTTTGCTCAGATAATGCTCTGTGTGATGTACTACTGAGAATGTATCAGAAAAGATGTAGAAGGAGAGTTAAACTTTAAGGCACGTAAAATCTACCTTCATTGGGCAAACAAACAACGCCTGCATCTTCCCCATGACTGCAATCACTCACTTCCCATCCATTACTGGGGCAGTCTTGAAGACTAGTCTCCATACCAGTGCACGCTACATCATCCAGAAGAATAGGGTCTTCGCCTGTGGGGATCAAGAAGGAAACTCACTCCAGGTAACTTTCCACAACATTAAGGCAGCTGAATGCAGACAAGTATTGAGTGGGGTTGGCACCTGCTTTGGTTAGTTTTCATGGTGTACAGCCCTGCGTTTGTTGCTAGCAATGTGATCTGGGGCATCACTTCAGCCTGACTGAATGGTCATGAATGCGTCTATGTGGATTGCAAAAAGTGCTCAAAACAGTGATAGGCATAAATCTGGGTGCCAAGGTCAGGGATATGGTATTCATACCACTGGTCATGGGCTCAAATCTTGCCATCACAAAGAAAATCATTTATGAAAATCATTAAGAAATTCTCGAAATCTCTCAGTCAACTTACGACAATCTGTTTAAAGGGTTTCCAATTCGCAACAGCCTTTGTTTTTTATGGGATCCCTCCACATATGTATTATTTACATCATTTCTTCTGCTGAACACTAAATATCCAACATTTTGTTGAATGTGGAAATAAAGTAAGATTGATTGATTGATTAAAAACTGACCCACAGAAATGAATGGAATGTTTTGAAACTGTTCACTTACATGTACAACATTTTGTTGCATGTGGAAATGTGAGTGAGTGAGTGAGTGAGTGAGTGAGTTTTGAAACTGACCAACAGAAATGAATGGAATGTTTTGAAACTGACCAACAGAAATGAATGGAATGTTTTGAAACTCTACACTTACATCTCAAAACCGTACTCATAATTCAATCTGAGCTCAATACAATAACTACGTTCTTTCCAAATTTTTTAATTTCTAATTTCTCGTAAAACTAACGAGACAGATTCGAGATTCATTTCTTTAATATCCTTCTAGAAATGACCTGAAAATGTATGCATATTACAATACAGCAACTTCCATTTCAATGAATGGTCCGTTAGGGAGAAGCTTTATGTGAAAATTTAAATCAATCACCACCTATGCACACAAAGCTACCAGCCGCAACAGAAAATAACTTTTTTTACTCCTTCATAATAACATGAAAATTTTTTAAGTGCATGCATTTCGTTATCCACTGGTACTCACTATCTCTGCTCACTGGGCCTCACAAATATTCCTATGAACTGTCTCAACTCCCCAAGACCATACATGTATGTGTACCACCAAAGGTGCAGCCTTTCCAGGTGCTACCAGCTTTATCAACCACAAATTATCTATCTCCGCCCTCACAGGTTCCCTTTTATATTCTTGGGTGGGGAAAGGCAAGTGAGGCTACACATCACAAGATATGCCCTGTCCCTTAGTTTGAAGCCCTTACCCATCTTTGGTAGAAGTTGGAAACCCCAACCGTGAGGTTTCATGTCCCCTCAATCCCTTTTCTTCTTAAAATAAGCAAGACAAAAGAAAACAGGACGGGGACAACAAGCACTAAGAGTGTGGTTTGCCAGAAAAGCACACCTGCCAACATTGACAAGTCAGAAATCAGAAAAGCCTTTTCAGAAGTCCATAGCAAGTTTGGGAAGCCATGAGAAGGAAGCTATTTATGTGTACATGTGTAACACACGTGTAACTGATATTTTCATATAGCAATTAGTGCCATCTTGTTTCTGACAAATAGTGCAATCTTTTGCCAGGACATTTTCATTTTTTTATATTCTCTTTCCTTTACATGGAAAGCAGACGTTCCAATTTGTTGCTGTCGGAAACCTTAAAAATTGGGACAGTTCCAAATAAATTGGAACAATTGACAGGAAGCAAAAACACACCCTAATTGGTTCATTTTTTAATTTGGGTAAACAGTGGCCATACCTTCCCCAAACTCCGCAATCGGTGCAACCCGTGCTGCTCCTCTTGTGAAGCCAAGCTGTCTGCACACCACATTGCCATCCTCAATGTCCCAGCTGTCATCGCAGACGGTCCCCCAGATATCGTTGTGGTTCACCTCAACTCGCCCAAGGTTGGGCTCCGGACCAACCAGTCGAATGCCCTCTGGGGTAGGAGCAGATTCTGAACACAATAACCATAACAAAACATGCACATGTGGTTAATGGATCTATGAGTATTTTACAGGGATCACAGAAGTTTATGGATAAGATCATAAGACCTTCTGTTGGATGTATCCTGAGCTATATATTTCCTCCGATCATCAAACACTGGGCAGAAAAACCAAAGATGAGCAATTTTTATCAATACAGAATTAGGGACATCAAGGTTGTAACAAACAAATGTAAAATATATTGTCCTGAATTTGTTGGCATACTGCTTAACCCCTTCATGGCGGGATTATTTTGACCGCGACTGCTGGGCTGTGGTATGCCCTGAATGGAGGGCTTTGTCCAGCAGCAGGCCCCATTGAACCAGCAGCTACAAGGTGAATAGACTGTATGTGTGGTATGCACTAATACTCACACAGTGGTGTGGTAGTAGCAGTCACCAGTAGCTGATGTAAGAAAACTTCATACAATGTCGTAACTCACATTCAACATTGTCCATTTTACTGCACAACATATTATGACAAAAATCTGTCACCAGTAGCTGATGTAAGAAAACTTCATACAATGTCGTAACTCACATTCAATATTGTCCATTTTACTGCAACAACATATTATGACAAAAATCTTTATACAAGTCGGGCAGGGCAAAAATCCATCTTTAAAACCTGACATTTTGGGAAAGGTGGAAGTTGCTATTTGCTGGCTTCAATGTGCATGTGTTATTGTTAGTTGCAGCCAAGTTATTCACTTATGTTACAAGACTCCCCTAAAGGTATAGTATCTGATAGTAGAGGGGTGTGGATAAACCGTGGCTGCATACCAGCTTCACAAGTAATGCCGACGTCCTCCCTGTGGGTGCAGATGAGCGTGTTCCACAGGCCCATTTCGCAATCTTGGACATTGGTCTCCATTCCCTGGCAAAGCAATCTGAAGAGTATTGGCCCCTCCCCCTCGCCATAGTCAGTCACGCCGTCATCGATGCTCACCACGCCGCTGTAGCCCAGCTGTCGGCACACCACGGCCGCCGTTGCAGCATTCCACTCGTCGTCGCAAATTGTCCCCCACTCGCCCTCATTATACACCTCGACTCGGCCCGACTGTGGATTTGGACCTCCTGCCAAGCGCACAGTTGCTTCTGGAGGAATATCATCTGTGACATTGCCACAAAATAAACAAAAAGGACAGCAGTTGCATAGTTGCTGCAAAAACAGCCACACTAATCAGATACAGATATTGTCTGTAACGTAGTAACAAACCCTGCAGTATAACACTGATATAAAGAACACAACATCAAAATGTTCAGTATAACAGTCTTTCAGTATAGCAATATTCCTGGTTACAGCAAGTTCAAACATGTGGCAGCCTAGCTGTCTCAAAAATGTGTCTGCATGACAAGTTTAGGCCAGCATTTCTATTTTAGGTTGCAAATAAGTTATTCTTGCATTTTGATCAATGTACTTTCTGTTCCTTCCATTTCATCTTTTGGTTCATTCTCACAAGAAGTCCACTTGCTAAGCAAAATCAGTTTACTTTTGAGTTATTAAATATTTCATGTGTCACACAATAGGATTTCGTGTACATTGGTTTCTGCTGCTACGTACAGTAGAACTACAATAGATTGGAACTGGGAAGGGAACCATTTCAAAATCATCAAATTAAGAAATGTCAGCTCAGGCAAGCATCGTTCAAAATGCGCATAACAAGCAAAATGTTCAATCGGGATTTCTACAAATTAAGACACAAAAGCTAATCTATTTTCATCGGTGGACAGGTATGTATTTTCGCTTAGAAGAATCAGTTATGGTAAAATGTTGCCAGGATTTTCCATACAAGATTCACTCCTGTTGCACGTACAAAGCAGCAGGCATAACGCACATGACCCCAGTACACATATGGGTCTACGCCCCTACAAAGGATGTTGACAATGCTGCATATTGTAAGACAGCATTTTCGGCAATTTTATTTTCTTTTTCTGTTATTAACATATTTCTGATGCCGTTCATTAGCTTTTGGTACAGAGGCTGTGATAAAAGGAAATCACATGAGTAGAAAATGGTACTTTGAGCCAAGCATTTCAAGCAAACGATTTGACGATGACTGGTGCAGTTAGAAATGGCTCCTTTTAAAGCTGCACATTTTCAAAAAAGAGATTTGACATTGCCTAATCTACTGAAACACATTTTCAAAACGAAATTTGAAATTGTGCAAAATATTAAGAGCCAAAAAGCCTTCAAGAACAACACTAAGAATTTTCATTACTGACTGAAATGTCACAGATAGAGGTACATAAACACCAGACACAGCAATTACTTTTTACTATGATTGCTCGTCACTGATAAGTTTAAAATTAAAGTATTGATAACTAAATGGATTTCACATGTAATGGCACACATTCTCACACTGACATGTATACTACAGTTAACCATACTCAAATTATATAAGTAAATATTTTGGGGGTAAGAAAAGGGATGAAAGTTTGAAAAATCTACCTATCCGGCACACAAATCCAACATCCTCATTATGTGCACAGTTTGACGTTCCCCAATCAGTGCTTTCACATTCTTCCAGACTACTCTCTGACCCATCACAATCGACGCTGAAGAGGATCGGACTCTCGGAGCTCCCCTGCCCGAACTCAAGAGGTAGCCCCATGCGTAGCGACCCTTGGGGGTAACCCAGCTCCCGGCAGGCCACATCGGCCTCGTCTGAACCAAACAGGTCATCACAGATTGTACCCCACTCGCCCTCCCGGTAGACCTCGACACGACCGCTGTTGGGTACCAGCCCATCGACCAGGCGGACTTTGGTGCTGGGGCCTTCCTCACTTCCATCAGAAACTGCAGCAGTGGGCCAGGCATTGGAAGAAGAGCATCAATTAGCAAGAAGAAATGATACCAAAGCTAATTAAACAGTTTAAAAGTTGGCCCAAAATGTACTTTTCCCACTGATCATGCTCCAAGTTCATGATGCAGCAATACCCACAAACACTGATTTTAATGATGGAATGATCTCTGGCAAATCAATAGGGTTATATCATTCAAATTCTGAGAGTGCTAATTCTGTGCGGTCTGCAGAGAGGTCAAAAATTAGTTCAAGCTGATCTCCACATCTGCATTTCTCTTTAACATTAATGCACTGTCCAAGTTGTCATCTGAACCTGGAAGGCACTGTGAACGTTACGTTATATCCAAAATCCTTTCAAAACAAATCAGGTTTTAAAAAAGACCTTTTCAGCGGTGGGGGGGGGGAAGTGCTGATCTGCATCAACATGACAAACCACCAATGTTGCAAGGGAGTCAATGGTCATTTCTGAGGTGTTTTCACACACGCTTATGATTTCTATCCCTTTTCCCCTTTTCATGTCCATTTCTTTTCCATTTCTTTTTCCACTTGTTTGGGAGGAGGGAACAACCATCCCTGCCCCCCTCATGATGCCCAAGCAATGTGCCACTCCGGTGTCAAGTCATTGCATGTGATCTGCGATTATTATCTGTATGTGGGGACACATGCTAATGTATACACATAAATGTGACAAAAGAAAATAGGGTGTAGCAAGCAGCTTCTTATACAGCTAGGATTGAATGTTCACTGTCACGCACCCGTACAAATCACTCCTGCATCTTCGGCATGACTGCAGTCTTCTACTCTCCAGTCGTTGCTTGGGCACTCCTCCAGTCTGGACTCTTCCCCTCCACAGGCCACTTCGTCCAGCAGGGTCTGTCCAGTGCCTTCCCCAAACCCAGCATTGGTCACAGCCTCCGTAGCACCCTGGAACCCCAGCTGCCTGCAGACGACTTCTGCATCTGTCATATCCCATCTGTCGTCACAGACGGTGCCCCATTCGCCTTGGTAGTAGACCTCCACACGTCCTTCATTGTCATTCACACTGCCAACCAGCCGCAATGTTACAGCAGGCACTGTCAAAGGAATTAGCACTTTCTTATCAATAAAATTGATCTAACTGGCTCCATTAAGTCCTCTGACCCTATGTGTCATGCAAACACAGTTGGTGTAAAATGCACAACTTCCTACTTTACCTAGATTTAGAAGTGACAGCAACCTGTGTCTCAAAGAACACTACTGAAACTTCACAAGACCATGTTCATGATATGCATGGTTTAACTTACAATGTCAAATAAAAATATAACCAAAAAAAGTGGAAATCCTGAGAATACTACAGTCATATGCAAAAGTTTAGGACCACCCATAGAAAATACATAAACCTGAAGAAAAACCAAACTTAACCCAATCAATCACGGCAACTTATGTTTATTTTCAATGTGTAATCTTGGCACCTTGGTTGAACATTTCTGACTACATTTCCATGATTTGACATGTTGTTGTGACGGACCGACTTGAATCAAGTCTAATCTTGGAATATGTTATGAGTTTGGTAGCCATCCGAATAGTCATAANTTTTAAAAAAGGCTTTTGCAGGGGGGGGGGGGGAAGTGCTGATCTGCATCAACATGACAAACCACCAATGTTGCAAGGGAGTCAATGGTCATTTCTGAGGTGTTTTCACACACAATAATGATTTCTATCCCTTTTCCCCTTTTCATGTCCATTTCTTTTCCATTTCTTTTTCCACTTGTTTGGGGGGAGGGAACAACCATCCCTGCCCCCCTCATGATGCCCAAGCAATGTGCCACTCCGGTGTCAAGTCATTGCATGTGATCTGCGATTATTATCTGTATGTGGGGACAAGTGCTGATGTATACACATAAATGTGACAAAAGAAAATAGGGTGTAGCAAGCAGCTTCTTATACAGCTAGGATTGAATGTTCACTGTCACGCACCCGTACAAATCACTCCTGCATCTTCGGCATGACTGCAGTCTTCTACTCTCCAGTCGTTGCTTGGGCACTCCTCCAGTCTGGACTCTTCCCCTCCACAGGCCACTTCGTCCAGCAGGGTCTGTCCAGTGCCTTCCCCAAACCCAGCATTGGTCACAGCCTCCGTGGCACCCTGGAACCCCAGCTGCCTGCAGACGACCTCTGCGTCTGTCATATCCCATCTGTCGTCACAGACGGTGCCCCATTCGCCTTGGTAGTAGACCTCCACACGTCCTTCATTGTCATTCACGCTGCCAACCAGCCGCAATGTTACAGCAGGCACTGTCAAAGGAATTAGCACTTTCTTATCAATAAAATTGATCTAACCGGTTCCATTAAGTCCTCTGACCCTATGTGTCATGCAAACACAGTTGGTGTAAAATGCACAACTTCCTACTTTACCGTTTCAGTAGTGTTCTTTGAGACACAGCAACCTGTGTCTCAAAGAACACTACTGAAACTTCACAAGACCATGTTCATGATATGCACGGTTTAACTTACAATGTCAAATAAAAATATAACCAAAAAAAGTGGAAATCCTGAGAATACTACAGTCATATGCACAAGTTTAGGACCACCCATAGAAAATACATAAACCTGAAGAAAAACCAAACTTAAACCAATCAATCACGGCAACTTATGTTTATTTTCAATGTGTAATCTTGGCACCTTGGTTGAACATTTCTGACTACATTTCCATGATTTGAAATGTTGTTGTGACGGACCGACTTGAATCAAGTTTAATCTTGGAACATGTTATGAGTTTGGTAGCCATCCGAATAGTCATAATAATTCCCACCCCGTCATGCTTGTAACCAGTATTTAAAGAGCTCGATGGGATATGAAATGGTCAGTTGTCTGTAACTAGTCATATTGCTTGATTTATATATGTATGAGGCTGGAATAGCTCAATGGTTATATTTCTACAAAACTTTGACGCATTTTTC